CATTGCAATTGACATGAATAAGGGACTGAACTGCTCTGTAGCTACGTTTAGAGCCCAAATCTCAGGGCACCCAAGACCCTAATGTTGTAGATATCCTGACTGACAAAAAAGGGTTTGCGAAACTAAAACTCTATGGTGGACCAAGGACCAAAAGTACTAACCAGTCTTGGGAATGATGTGTGATTAGAAGTATGGCATGTTAAATTCACTCATTCATTCATATTTTAAATTTGTGCTAAATCTACATGAGGTGCTGGGGATTACAAATGTGATTGAGACCTAGGTGGTGGTTCCTTATAGCTTAGGACTTACATAAATTAGTTAGGAAGACATGCATCTATACATAAGCAATTATTTAATCACAAACGTTATTAGACCTACAAAGTAAAAGTAAGGAATTAAATGAGAGCTATAGTAGAGAGACCTAATTCAATCTGGGAGTCAAGGAAAAAGTGCTATTCAAGAAGAAATAGTATGTTTGTGCTATAAGGCAGTGTGGGAAGGAAAGGATACAAGGCAAAAGGAACAGCATATGCAAAGGCCCAGAAGCAAGAGAGATTGACATGTTCAAGGAATAAGGAAAGACCCATGGAGTAAGAGCAATATAGCAAAGATATGTAGAGGAAAAAGATGAGCTGGGGAAGGAGAGGGGATACAGATTATGCAGAGCCTCCTAAGACAAGGTAAGGCTCTTCAGTTTTATGCTAATTGTAATTGGAAACCACCGAGAGGTTTAAACCTAATTTTAAATACAGTTTGCAGTCTTAAAACCTGTGGGGAATGGATTGGAAAGGGGTAAGAGTGGAAGAGAGTAGAACAATTGGGAGGCTGTTGCAGGATGTTTAGGAGAGATGGTGGCTTGGCCTATAGCAGTTGGAGAAGTGATGTGGAATAGTAGATGGAGTCAGGAGATATTGAGGAACTGGAATCAATGGTCCTTGGGATTGATTAGCTGTCAGGGTTGAAGCAAAATGAGATATCAACACTAATAGGTTCTTTCAATCAACAAATAGCTGTTAACTGCCTCTTATATGCCAGATAAACTGTTGAGGATGATGCCTTAAACACACAAGTCTTGGACTGCCTTCTTTCAAACATTGCAATACAAATCTGTTTAGAAGAGAGCATTAAAAAGTTTACTTTATTTCTGATGCCTAATTGACTGTAATACAAGCTTTTAAAAGGAAGTTTCCCACTAAGCTTTGTCAGGTCATGACTTGAGCTCATAGCTCCATCCCACCCACTGCCATTGAAGACAGTTCTCTTTCCATGTGTGTGCCTCGCAGCTTGCCTCTATGCCCCATCATATAGTTCTCGCTGTCCACTTCAAGTATTTTGAAAATCTGCCCATCAGCCTGCTCTCCCTTACTCACATGGACAGTTAACACACTGAATTCTGCCCCAGTCTCATGCTAACTGCATATGTTAGGCACGTTACTAACCTTCCCAACTTCAGGGTTCTCCTCTCTACAATAAAGTCAATTTAATTGATGTCAGTAGCACTAATATCCTTCATGGGTGATCAGGTATAATATGCTTCCTAAGTGATATAATATGAAGTAAAGTCATTCACCTATGATGTAGTTTTGCCACAGACTTTTAACTAGAATATAATCAAACCTTGAGATCCATCTCCGAGCTATTGGACACAAAAGGAATAGACTTCATGAGGAAACAGCACTATAGGAGAACAAGTCCAGAAAGTGGACATCTGCCTAACAAACGGCCTGGCCTCTTTAGCAGGCCCAGGGAGCTGGGCCTGTTCTAGATTTAAAAGAGTTGAGAGAAGAGACATAATAACTAAATGCAATACAGTGTTCTTGAGTGGCGCAAGCTTGAAGGTACAACTGGTAAAATGTGAATATGAAAGCTGTAGTAGATAGTGTTAGGGAATTACTATTGATGGTGGTTATGGTTAGTTTCATTAGGCATTACTATTTGGAGGAAATTTCTCTTATCATTTAGGAATGTATAACAAAAGTATTTAAGGGAGAAATATCCTAATGTCTGTGTTATACTTTTGAAATTGTGTGTGTGTGTGTGTGTGTGCATGTGCGCGCGCGCGCGGTGCACGTGTGCCTACACGTATAAACTAAAATGCAGTGAAGAGCTCTGTTACTTAAACCCAGGTGATATACATATAGGTGCTTTTATACTATTCTATTATTAAGTATTTAATAATAAAAAGTGAAATAGATAAAATCATACCTATATCACAATGTTGTGAAGGTAAGAGATAATGTCCAAAAAGACCTCACTTATATTACATATCATTAAGTAAATGAGTATTCTCTTTCACAACAGTTTTCTTCTGTGCATCAGGACCTCACTCAAATCCAGAATCTCACTGCACTCAGCAGCCATGTGTCAGGAAAGCGTGGTCGGAAATCTCCTGGTCCCTTGGAGGATGGTACGTAGGTGAGCTGGCAGGCTGGCATCATGCTCGGTGGAATAAACTTCTCATATTTTTGGCCTATTCACTACCGTGCACAGAAATACTGCAATTCTTTTCCAGCTCAAAAGTTAACCCTCAAATAATATATTCATGTGCAGAAGTGTAGGATAGTTCAGAACTCAAAAGAACTAAGGTCTGCCCAGATGCAAAAGAGGAGTGAGGTATATCCCACACCTGGAAGGGTGGGAAGAAGACCGCACTGGGGCGAAGGCAGGAGACAGAGGCTTGTGCGTTATACACAGACGTAACCAAGTTTAATCTTGCTGCCCGACAATAATAGATAGTATCCTTTTCACCCTCAGTGTGTCCTGTTCAATGATAAATTATTTGGTCCTTCTAAATATACAGCACGTTTCTTTCCTAAGTTCTTCTGTGAACTGTCCCTGGTCACTCCCTGTACTCCCTGTCCTGCCACCCACATTCCCACTGCCACCTCCACCTTGCAATAATCCAGCTGCATCCATCTATAGCATCTGTGAGCTCTGCTTTCTTTGACCTCTTCAGGTACTCATTTGCTCACCCCTACCCCACCTCTGTCAGGCAACCCCCGTCCCTTCTCAAAGGCTAGAGTTCAAAGTTGTCTACTCTGGGAAACTTTTCTAGATTCCACAGAGAGAAGTTGGCTCTTTCTCCCTGGGCCAGGACACAGGAGGTATGTGAGGTGCCTTGGGCATAAAATTTAAGGAGGTTCTAATTCTCAGTGTGGTGCAAGTGCTGACTCTGCAAGTCCCATGACCTATAGTGAGCGCCTCCTTAAATTTTGTAATATAGTCTTCTCACTTGCCTCACCCTATCCTGGTCCTGGTCTCAGCATCTCCTGTATCCCCTCCTCATGACTGCACAGGAGAAGTTACCTGTTGACCTGTCTTCCTGACTGGAATAGGAACTCTTTCGCCTGAAGGACTACATCTTATTCATTACTCCAACCTCAGTCCCTACCACTGTGCATGGGCTTGGCACCCAGGCAGTGTTTATAAATGACGACTGGAATAGGACAACGATGCAGTGAGTCCAGTGGTGTTGGAAACACACATGGTGTTAGGACATTGCACTATCAAGGACAAAATGACAACTGCTTCAGAGCTAGGAGAGGATCCAGGGTGGAAAGACTGGATAAAACAGAACACTTGTCATCTGAAATATACCTAGTAACTGGATACCAGTGAACTGCTTAATAATAAATACTACCTGCCCTCCAGGGGAGCCTGGAGAAGGAGGCATAGAAACAAGGTCTGACACATTAGCAAGCTTTTGAGTAGAGTGAAATCAGATTGTCCACTAAATCCAGGTTTTCTCCAATCGGGAACCTCCCGTAATGCCCTCTACCCTTCTTCCTGCTATGCATATGGTATGGTCATGCCATCCGGTCAGAAGGAGTGGCATGATCGGGACTTTAGGAAAGCTCTTTCATGTGTCCATCACTGTGCTAGCTTCCCTCCCCCCCCCCCAAAGATTATAGTGTTTAATCATTGCAACAACGCAGTGAAGCAAGCGTTCGTATCCCTGGTCTGTGCATGGGGAAAGCCAGACATTGTGTAATGTTCCTGAAGCCACACAGCTAGGAGCTGGATGAAAGAAGAGCACATCCTATGCTCAGGCTAATTGAAACTTGGTTATGTTTAATAGAGCCCTGTTTCCCACCCCACAAAAAAAGCTGTCACAGACTAAAACATAAACAGATTCCTGAGGTGCTTACCTTTATTGTGTAAATACTTGAGCATCTACCGTGTACTCCACTATGGACATCAAGTCCTACAAGGCTGAGCAGGGAAACTAGTGGGATGGAGTGGGGAGAGAGGGACAATAGATAGTGAACGACTCATAGGTGGGTTTAAAAGAGCAAATGTATTCTCGTGTAGCACCTTCTTCAGGGGAGATGCACAGAAATTGAAATAGCATGTTTGCAATAATGCTACAAACCACAGGATGGAAGAATCCCAGCTGCAAAGCTGTTTCCTGAAACCTTCCCAGGGAGAAACAGCCTGTTCCCCGAGCCTGTAACTATCCTCAAGGTTGGGCCATACGTGTAGGTTCAGGTGGAGAATGAGGCGAGTGTGCAGATGATTTTCAGGACAAATAGCAGTTGTTTCCCAGTGCACTTTCTTTTGGGAGAGGGGCCTACTTTTAGGGATAAGGAGCAAAAAAATTTCAACTTCATTTTGTGCTGTAACAGAGTATCATCCTTCACCTAGCAGACCTCCTGAGGTATGACTTCAGGTCCCCATGTGGCTTTAAAAAAAAAAGTTTCTATTGATTTCCAAGAGGAAGAGGGAGGGAGAAAGAGATAGAAACAGCAATGATAAGAGAGAACCATTTATAAGCTGCCTTCTGCATGCCCCACCCTGGGAAATTGAACCATGATCCCCCTTCTGCACCTCCACACCCCTCCCATTCATAGGTTGACGCTCAATCACCAAGGCCCACTGGCAGGGCATGTGGCCCTTTTTCAAAAATATATTTTTATTGACTTTAGAGAGAGGAAGAGAGAGGGAGAGAGAGTTAGAAACATCAATGATGAGAGAGAATCATTGATCGGCTGCCTCCTGCACGACCCCTACTGGGGATCAAGCCCGAAACCCTGGCATGTGCCCTTGACTCAGCATCCTTCGGTCCCCAGGCCAAAGCTCTATCCACTGAGCCAAACCGGCTAGAGTGGAATCACAAATGCCTTTAGCTCTGTTGTGCATACATTCTAGAGACTTCTTGGCAGGGTCTTTAAAGTATGCTCACATATTCTTCAGATTTCATCTTTGCAAGCATAGCTTCATGGAAAAACATCACATTCCAAGTGTGACTGGGAAGTTTCATTCACCACAGTAGCTGCCAATAACAAGTAGGGAGTTTATTGTCACTCCAGCGAGCTCATCAAATCTAAATGACATGTGTTCCCTGCAGTTTCAGCTGATTCATTTCCGTAAAATGCAAGTGATGCTATTTACAAGATATTCAAAGACCAATTTAAGAATCTAAACTATAGTGGAATTAAATATATAATAGTTTTAAATTTAATATATATCATCAGAGTCTTAGCAGGAATCAAAATGGCATACTCAAAAGGGTTCCTCTGAATATAATATTGTGAAGCACGTATTTAAGAGACATGGGCATGGTTAAGGGAACCACCAATGGATGGAGAGGCACCTAGGAATTGTCAATGTCAGGAAAGTTTTGCTGCCTCAGGCAGAAGGGGCCAGGAGTAGAACTTGGAGGTTGGGGCCCAGGAAGAGGACTGTCCTAACAGGACCAGTCGCTGTAGGAATGCAGCAGCTCAGTACAAAGGCTTGGCGGAAATGCCCCCAACTCTCTCTCCTTCCATCCTCTGGCTACTTGCTGGTGCTGCCCATTGTCTAACCCCAGCCAGAAGGCAGTGGGTGAGGGAGTCTGGGAATACTCATCATTGAGGTCAGCCTCCTGGGGATCCATGACAGACAGAGAAGTGCAGAGACTTATCTTGGGGTAGCTTATGCTAACTGATTTCATATGTTACTCTGCAAAGCAGAGTAGTGCAACAGAATAAACCTAGATTTTGATGTCAGAAAGATCTGGATTCAAATTCCACCTACTAATGGTAAGATCTTGGATCTTTTCTGGACAGCTTCAGGAGAGTTCCATCTTACCCTTTCTGAGTTTCAGTTTCTTCATCCAGTAAAATGGAAATAGTAATAACTTCCAATAATAATAACAATAATAATAGGAAATAACAATGATTTACCTAATTGAGTGATTGTGAATATTAAACAAGTTGACCAAGGGAAAAAGCCAGACACGGTGCTTGACACATGAAATGGATTTGTTGATTTCCTCCAGTTAGCCCTCCTTCCGTTATCCCTTATATGGTGAGATGACTGCCATGTGGAGGTTGGAGAACCAGTTTGACCATTTTTCTCTTACTGGGTTCTTGCTGAGAGTCCCCTGTTGACTCATAGCTGGAGCCATGGGCAGGACTGTGTTATTCCTGGAAACTTGTTTATTGGGGTCCCCTTGTCAGGAGAGAACCACCCATTTTTCTGGCGTCACTTTTCTGAAGAAAACTTCATGGGACATCCTCAGGCGAATGCCAATTTTACCACATTCACAGGGACACTGGTTCTTAGGGAACTGTTCCCGGGGGACCATTTCTTTAGCAAGTGTCATTCCCTGTACACAGGCAGATACCCAAAATGCGTCTCCTTTCTCCTGGTGTACGTTACCTTTTGAAAAGGCATCAGCTACTTTTGTAAGATCTCGGCCAATTCAGTTCCAGATAGGGCAGTCTCCTTCCAAATTGAAGCCACCAACGAGGCTTTGTATTGTTGTTGTTTCTTGCTAGTTTGGGAACATGGGAATGTTTGGTTACTTGTGAATTTTGATTGGACCCTTGGGAAGGGTTCCCGTGATAGAAAAATAAGAAGCCATAACAGTTGAATGGTTATTTAACTATTCATTGGTTCAAACTAGCATTTGTGTGCAGGACATAATCCCTAATTCTCATATCCATCCTGTAAAGTTGTTCTTATTTTCAGTTGAGGGAACTGAGGCTCAGAGAGATAGGTGGAAATCTGCAGTTAGTAAAAAGTGGAGCTGGGCTAGAGACCATAGTTCTATCTGAATTAAAATACAGAGATCTGTTTATCTTTATGATGGTTGCACAGAGTCAGTTGTAATACCTTCATCCAGATATAGCCATCTAAAATCAAGTGACAAGGCTGTGAGTTTCCTCATGATAAGGGGTAAGTCTTATTCATTTCTCTATTTCTTACAGTTAACCACTACCCCTGCCCTAAAGTGGGTGCCTGTTTTAATGTTTGTTGAATAATAAAAAAAAAAAGATTGACTGAATGAGTCATCAATACAAAGATATTTTTGTCTCCATGTAGCATTTTTCTAATGCATATTTATATTTCATTTGACAGTGTTTGAAAATTGTATAATATTCCCCTTCAGCATAACTTGCAGTGTGGAAATGCTTCCATATGCGAGATGTTTCTCATTTGACTGAGGGAGAAAAAAAGACTAGGAAAAACATCACATAGTGGTTAAGCATTCATACAAACACATCTTATAGTATGGACTGTTCATGAATGGTATATTTTGGAAGGATGATTTTGCAAAAATATTGAAGTAGACATTCAGTTTGGATTGATATGGGTTAGGAAAATGTTCTCATGCAGCTAATACAGTTTTGTATTAATCCACTATGTTGTAGAAGATATAGGGCAGGGGAGAAGGGCATGAATCCTGGAGCTGTTAATTCATTACTTAATTGCTATGTGACTTGGGCAACTTGGACATCTATCTATGTCTTAGTTTAACTTCTGTGTACAATGGATAAGAATACCATATCCCTCATGAGAGGTTGATAGAATTAAATTAATTAATTCAGGAGGAGTTCTTAAAACTGTGCCTGATAAATGGCTCAATAAATGTTATTATCCCCAAGCCCCATGGAATCCAGTTTGGAAAAGTCACATGTCTTTCACCTCTCCATCACCATCATCTCTACCTTATTCAGGAGCTCATCAAATCTTGCCTGACTTACTGTATCCTTTAGCTCAGCCTTCAATGGCCACTGGAGTGAATCCCTGAAGACTTAAATTAAACCAGGCCCTTCACCTTCAAGCAGTGCCATCATTCCCTATCAACTTCAGGACTAAGTACAACACCCTTGTGACATTCAAGGTCTTTATGAACTCAGTACTTTTTCCTCCTCTGAACTCATCTCTCTTCATTCCCATATGCATGACATACTGCAAGTACCAGCATCTGCAAGTAGAAAATATTCTGTTGGCCTAATGAAAAAGTAATAATTGGGTGAGAGGAGTAAGTGAGCAGCTAATTTTACTGATGGATTCAAAGAAGTTTTCAAAGAAGAGATATCTCAGTTGTATCTTGAAGAATAAGTTGATATTGGCCAAGCAGGGTAGGGTAGAATGTGACTGGTTGGATCACCTAGAATGAGGGAAGGATGTGTGCATTGGAACAGGAAAACAAGGTGTATCCATGAAATGAGAACTTGTCTAGTCCTGAGAGGGATGAACTAGGGGATGCTTAAATGTGGGAGTGAGGGAGAGGGGAGCATCAAAAAGGGCCCTTCAATCTGTCATGAATGCCTGGATGGAACACTGATATTGTTAATGGAGATGAGGGATATACAGGAGAATAAATGTGTGTGTGTGTGTGTGTGTGTGTGTGTTGAATAGGAAATATTAAGTATCTGTTTTGTACACACACATATTCAAAAGTCATCTGGAAATGTTCATTACTAAACTCCTAATCTTGTTCCCAATCCCACCTCCAGACTATTTCCTGGCAAATTTTCACTTCTGAGCAAACGGCAATTATGTTCTTTAGAATCCTGACATGCTGTCTCTCTCTTACATTCTAAATTTGATGCTTCATCAAGTTCTGCTGCCTTATTTTTCCCCCCAAAATATATCTATCTAGCTTATGACCATTTCTCATCATCTTTGTGGCTACCACTCTCATTAAAACCACCATCTTTCATGGGATTACAGGCACACTCAGAGATACTGGGATTCAAGACCACCGAAGTAGAGCAAGCATCACAATAAAGTGGGTTGTCATTTTTTGCTGGTGGAGGGCCTTCAACTTGTGAAAAACATAACATCTGTGAAGCACAATAAAGCAAAGCACAATTAAAAGAAGTCTGTCTGTGTTGAAATACTGTCCTAAACTGCCTCCCCTGCTTCCCACCTTGCCTTCCTTTGGCCCATTTTTAACACAGTAGCCAAGAGTGGTTCTCTTAAAAAGAAGGCAAATCATGATGTCCATAGCCTCCCAAGCACATCCCTTCTTGCTCCGAGTAAAATGTAATGCATGTCCAGTGCAACGCATGACTCAACCCTCTCAGCCCTTGTCCCCATTGCTACTCAGACTTCTTCTAGTCCAGCCCTCTCTGTCACCACTCTGCCACACTGGACTTCTTAGTGTTCCTCAGACATGCCTGGTATCTTTCTGCCTCTGAGACTTTCCAGCAACTGTTCCCTTGCCTAGAATGATTTTTCCTCAGGTGCCCACCTAATCATCTCCTTCATCTCCTTCAGATCTGCCCTCCAAAGTTATCCACTCAGTGATGTCTCCTCTAGTTACCCTATCTACACTGGTGGCTCCCTTTTACCTCTGATCTCCCAATCTCTCCCCCACTTCTCTGCATTTCTTTTCTTTAGCACATATGACTGTCTATCATACTCTCTATTTTACTTTTATATTTTATCTATTGTTTGTCTCCATCCCCCTTGAACCTATAGTATACATTGCATGATGGCACTGATTCCTGTATCATTCCCCTCTGTCCCCTGTCCCTAGAACAGTGCTTGACCACAAGTTGCTCAGTGGGTATTTGCTGAATACAAGAATGAATCCAGGTGGGGACTATGGCAGTATGTTGCTGCAGGGATCTGGTACTCAAGAGGCAGATGTGGGTTAAAGATAGATTCGGGGATCCTTAGCAGCGAGGTGACAGATGTGTGGGAGTAGCTAAAATGAACGAAGGAAAAGATATTAGTGAGATTAAAAAAAAGACCAACATAAAACGGGAAAAATAATAATTAGACACTATGCAGATTAAAGTGGCAGAGTTGAGAGCAAATGACTGGGATTACAGGCTAGAGTTAAAAATCTTTCACTTACCAGCTTTATGACTGTGGGGAAGCGACTGGATAATTCTTGGCCTCCTTATTCTCACAGGTAATTGTAAAAAAAAAAACACAAAAAAACCCCTTCATTTCAGAGGGCTGTTAAGAAGATTAACTAATAAAATGTGTTAATCAATTAGCAGAAGGTAACAAATAATATAGGTTGTGGTTGGTGTTGATATTAACTCCTTCAAATGATCAAATCCAGGAAAGAATCCTGAAAAATAGAAGTATGGGAACATAATGGAAGATAAGAGAGGAGAGGTCTTCAAGAAAGAGGGGCAGTAAACTCTGTAGGTGTTGGTCTGCGGTCAAGGCTAACATTTTAAGAAGCACACAAGGCCCTGGGGTAGAGCTATTTGAGAAAACAGTTTCATTTGAATCAAAAAGTCACAATCCCATATTTTAAAATGAGCCAATGTTTTGCGGAAAATAACAATAATTGTCCTAGAAAAAAAAGTCAAATAAAAACAAAGCAAAACAACACTGGGCCCTCAATTGTGTCCAGCTGACAAATGCAGGAACATGGTGACCCAAAAATTTGCTTCTCTCTGGTCTTTGGGAGATTTACTTGCTCACTAGTCAGAACTCGTTTGCTAGTTTTATGAGATTAAGCTATTGTGCAATACTATTAAGCCAGCTCTGTGGGTGTTTATTTACAGATGGCTGCCATCTTGATTTATTGTCTGTCAAATTATAATTATTAAGGATGGAGTTAATTGTCATTTCAACCACCTGGTAATTACTCATTGTGCTTTCATGTGGTGATAAATCTGTCCTTTACATCAAAATTTGAAGCTTCCTATGATATTTCACTTCCATGTTTATCTCCATTCATGTCTTGTTCAAAATAAGTGATTAACAGAAGCTATTGGACCTTTTTTAGTGTAATCTGTGGACCTTCAAGTAAAAGAATTGCTGATTCTTGTAAATGTTTCTGAGTAGCAGGGCTGGTATAACAAGAATCCAGTGACGTGAGTTACAATAATTAAAATTAAAATAACGAGGCATGCTCTTTCAAAGATTAGTCTAATAAAAAACATTAACAATGCTCCCAGTATATTCCATGCTGCACACCTAGATGATGGTTTCTAACCCTCATTATTTGTTTACCTTATTGTTTACCCAAGTCACATTATCCGTATCCCCTTCTGAACTTTTAGGACAGAATTCAGCAGTCAGTGAGGTTACCCTAGTCTTATAAGGCCTCAGTCACTTTGATTCAGGGCTATGAATGGGATTGCCTGCTTGGTCCCTCTTTAGGGATACTTTTGATAGAACTAATGGGAAGAAAGAGCGGGGAATATATATGTGTCATAGGAGCTGCATCCTTCCTCATATATTTGGTGTCTGTTCCCTTGTTTGTGGACTTGTCCTTTTTCACTTTTCCCCTGTGGGTACATTTTCAGGAGGGTACACAGAATTGGCTAAATTAGCCAGCTGAGGATCAAGTGGAATCTTTCCCACACAGCCTTGGATGCTACTGTGGTGTCATCATCTTTTTCCTCCAGGGAACCCATCAGGCAAGCATGATGTGTCCAGCTTCCTCTAGCTTTTAGACTAAGAGCCTAGAGGAGAAGCCCACATGCCTGGCTCCTCAATATTAGAAGGCAGAGCCACCTTCTAATTGACAGCTGCCAACTTAGAGTCTTTGGTGACCACGAGGTCTCACCTTGGCACTTGCCTTGCAGTGAGACTCAGCCTGGGCTGATTTCTGCTAACACCTCTTTCCAGACAGGAAGCTATATGTCCACTGGGCCCAGAGAAAACCTGTGAACAATGTCTGCTTTCCTTCTCTTTGTAAGATTGTGAATCAGTTAAGCAGGGAAAGCTCAGGGGGCAGATGTGGATATCTAGGACCACCCTGCAGTTTGTCACAAGGCTCAGGAATTTCCTGTTATCTCCTAAGACATATTGATCTGCCATATGAAATTTCCACTTTGGGGCAGTTTTCTGTGGTCAGGTGCCTGACATGGCTTCCCCTGCTCTCCCTTCCTCACTTCTACTCCATGAGGCAAAGACCTCTTCTTACTTACAGGATGTTCTGATCTCTGGTACCTGCCCCCTTCATTCTACCTTCCATAAAGCACTGAGAGAGTTCTCAAAATCTGGCCTCCATCTACCCTCCAATATCATGTTCCTGTGCTCCCCCTCACGGGTGACATTTCAAGGTCTTTACAGTGAAGTTTAAATTGACTACCATGTCTTTTCCTCTCCGTGATATTCATCTGAAGTATTCTTAATTAATCTTCAAAATTCATACGTCAGCAGTCAGATCCTCAGAGGAGTCTTCTGTGATCACTTCCATTCCCCTGCTAATTCTGTTCCTCATTGTATTATGTCTGTACCGTAGATTTCTTTCTACTCTTGCTATATCCCAAAATATGAAATTTTATTTTTGTTTGCCTGTCCATCCCCTTCTCGCATTCTCAAGAGCAGGATCTAGGATGGACTTATTTGTACATCTCCCATTGCCTGTCACCACTAGCACAGGACTAAATATGCAGTGGATACTAGATACGTAGTTGCTGGTGGATTCTAATTAAACAGCTAAAATCTTGGTTGATATTCTTGTACTTACATTAGAGTAGACCAGTATCTTTATGGAAAAATCAGAATGGGCTTCATGGAGAAGTTGACCCTTTATCCAAGACATACATGACAGTTTCTAATTGGAATAAAAGACAGTTAGTCATATCCAAATGGAAAGAAAAGAAGGCTTTGGTTAATAGAAAACATTTTTTTTACTAAATATTAAGGAAATAGGACATGCATTTCTTTTTATGGTCAATGTATATTTTCTCATATATGAGAAATTTCCAGTGGAACTCAAAGGATGTTCCTTCTTTTCTTCTCTCTTTACTCTCTTCCCTCCCTACTTCCCTTCCTCCCTACGTTCTTCCTTTGCCTTCCTTCCTTCCTCCCTTCCTTCCTTCCTTCCTTCCTTCCTTCCTTCCTTCCTTCCTTCCTTCCTTCCTTCCTTCCTTCCAACAATAGACAATCTTGGACAAAACAGAGGCTGCTAACTTCTATAGAGAAAAAGTAGGAAGTCTATTCCTATGTCAATACAATCCTTCTGATGGCAGATTAGGCCATCTCATCCCAACCCAAGATTGTAAGTGAGATACACATTTCTGAGAAACTTCTTTTACTCATTGTCAGCCTGCGGATCAATGTCTCTGTTGGCCTAGCATGGAGACTGGGAATTCTTTCTCTTGTTTGGAATTGAATAAGAACTGTCTTTTCTGAAATAAAAAAAAAGTTCCATATACAACTTGAACTGTTCTACTTCTACTTTGACACCATCAGGAACTTTTCAAGGCAGAGCAGACAGCTGAATTCTACAGTGGTTTGAACATTGTAGTAATAGAGCAGGTGACTCCTCAAGGCCGATCATTCTCTAGGAACCATTAATTATTGTGTGTTGGATTGTATGCATCTATCTACTATCTTCCTATCAGAAAAACACTGCTCAGTATTTGCCTCACAGTCTTGTGGGAGAAGTTGCAGTCTTTGTCCCTCTTACAGGGAACAGTTAAGTAAGAAGAGTTTAAGTGAGAGGTGCAGGGACAGAGATCTGCTCGTGGGCTATGGAATCGCCTTTGGTCTTTCTGATATTAAACTCTATTCTTGAGAACAGAGATTCCTCTTTATCCTGCTTGTCACGATCTCAACACAGCAGTTAAAAGGGAAGGAATAAACAGCATAGCATGTGTAAGTTTCTCAGTAGAAAACAAGCTCTATCATATTTCCTTTCCTTGAGCCGATGGATCCTGAAAGCCTGAGGAAGCAGTATTACTATACCTGGTAAGAACATGTTACTCATCTTGGCCAAGGAGTGGTGGGAAGAACACTGGTCTGAGAGCCAGTGAACCAGGGGTCCACTCTTAACTGGCACTGACTGACCATATCATCTTGGACAGCTCACTTCTTTCCTCTGGCCTCAATTTCCAGCTTTGATATGATGAGATGATCACTAAGGCTTCTCCCGGGTATGATACTCTGAGAAGTTGGAAGCCACAGGAGGAAGGGTGGGTCACATGGCAAACCTCTAAGTCCCATACACACACCCAACTGAGCCTCTGCCAAGAGGTATCTTCTTATCACTATTATCGAAACCTACTCTCAGGGCCATACAATTGTTCATACCCATTGCATTAGTAACTCCACTCCTGGGAGCTTATTGTAAAGAAATAAACTCCTTTGGAAGGAGGAAAAGTTATATTAGCAACAACAAAAAATGTTGTTCATGGTATAATTCGAAATTTTCTGTGAGCTCAGTGTCCATCAGTAGGAGAATGGACCAGGACAGTCAGGCTGTTTCAGAGTTCTGAGAAGGATGTGGAGAAAGGCTTTTCTATCACAAGAAAGAAAAATGTATTTGCTTTGTAGATTGCAAATACTAGTATGTATATGAATAAGTGAAAGGAAAGAGGAACGCTTATCTGTAGTCTACCCTCTATGGCTCAGGCGCTATCCTAAGCATTTTGTTACATTAATCATCTCACAACTATGAGGCCAGGTACCACCATTACCAATGTACAGATTAGGAGTCGAAGACTCAGAGGGACAGTCACTCACCAGACCACCACTGCTGTTAATGGGTTAGTGCTCAAGATTCAAACCCAGGTCTAAATAGTTTTCATTATTCATGGTAGTTATTGTCTACAAGATCTGTGAACATTGAATTAGAGAATACTGAACCATAGCTCCTAAGAGCGTCTGGTCACAGCATATTTTATTAACTGATCATTACATAACCTTGTTTCATGAATATTTCTGTTTAAGGACACCTTATTTAATAGATACCATGAATTCTTCAACACTGAACTCAGGCCACAGCACGGTAAGTCATGCCAGGACAACACTTATCCAATACCTGTACTAGTATATCCTCGGTAAGGCACATCAGAGCCTTCTTGCATTTAGGAACACCAGATGGCAATTCAGCACTTCCTCGGGGTTCTTTTAAACAGCAAAATTACCAACAAAAAGCACAAAGATGGGGAAAACGTGGCACTGAATAGACCACACATAAGACAGTTGCTTACAATGTGAGAGCTGAAATAAGAAGATAGCATCACCTTGCTCAACCTCACCTGGAACAGGCACATTGGGCAACTCAAATCTTTCACTGCTCTGAAAATGTCCGTGAATAACCACGACGTTTCTGTGAGTATTGATTTGGGGTTACACATAACTTTTAGGGGACAGGTGAATTCACGAACACAGAATCTGTGAATAATGAGGATTGCCTCTTCATTCATTCATTCATTCAGCAAATATTTATAGTGTATCTGTCATGTGCCAGACACTGTTCCAGCACAGGGGATTTAGAAGCGAACAAAACAAAGCCCGTGCTCATGGATCTAACATTCTGGGGAAGGATTAATACTGAACCATTGCTCCTAAGAGCCTCTGGTCACAGGTCAGTCAGGTAGTCAGGAGCTATTAAACTGGGAGGGGATTAGAGAGGGATGGGTGGAGGGGCTGTTAATTATGCAGGGTAGTCAGAGGGAAGCTTGGGAGGTAACATCTGAGCAGACACTCGAAGGAATTGAGTGGTAGGGACATGCTTGGAGAGAGCAATTGGGGAAGTGGGAGCAAAAAGTGTAAAGATACGGACCTGGAGGCCTGGATGCCTTGAGCCATGTTGGGAGAGGAGGTCAGAGTGGGCTGGCAAGTGATGTTCATCTCTCTTACTTTAAAATATGGGCTTTGCGAAGGAACGTGGCACAAGGATGCAGAGTGACAGCACTAGAGTGCTTTCTAAATTGTTAAAATAAAGCATCCTTGTCCATTTCTCTTGAGAAAGACTCAGGTAAGAGCCAAAGAGCAGATCTTTGCAGAGGGATGGAGGCTTTCCCTGGCTCCCCAGACCTCTGCTTATGAGCCTTGGGTGCCTGGCTTTGGGAAGTAACAAAATTGTATCCTGCTGAATTTTTAGTCTTGTAATACTTTCATAATATAGATTATAATGGTTAATAAGTTTTAAAAAATTAGCCTGGACTTGGGTGAGATTCTTTGGGAGATAACATGGCCCAGGGCTGCAATATCCAGGACAATTTCATTAGCATTTGTAGTGCATCCAGGAGAGTCACAACAAACAAACCATCCCCAGGACAACAGGAGCAGTGGAGGCAGGAAGCAAGTCCTCACAGTGAAATCTAACTTGTGGAAAAATGCTGCTCACCCGATGCTGAGTTCTGCTTACAACGCTGTGAGAATATCAGTGCTGTGACCCATGCTGGAGCCAGCTCAGAAGTCCTCTGGAGTTAGAGTTCCTGAGACTCAAACCTCACTGCTGACAGGTAGGGAGACTGAGGCCCAGAGAGGGGCAGAAAGGAGCTTCCAATCAAACACCAAGGGAGTGGCTAGACTTCAGCCTTGTCACTAAACTGTCATTCTAGGCCAGTGATGGCGAACCTATGACACGCGTGTCAGAGGTGACACGCGAACTCATTTTTTTGGTTGATTTTTCTTTGTTAAATGGCACTTAAATATATAAAATAAATATCAAAATATGTCTTTGTTTTACTATGGTTGCAAATATCAAAAAATTTCTATATGTGACACGGCACCAGAGTTAAGTTAGGGTTTTTCAAAATGCTGACACACCGAGCTCAAAAGGTTCGCCATCACTGTTCTAGGCAGTTATTACTAGAACTAGTGGCCCAGTGCATGGATTTGTGCACATTGAAAGGAAATTATTTAGAAGAAATATTTTCATATCACTATTAGGTTTTTCTCTATAATAGAAGTGTCAACTAAATTCACGATTGAGAATGACAGATTGAAACACACGTGTGCGATTTGCGTCAGCGAGAGCTTTATATGTATCCTGCATGCGCGAGTCAACTTAGCCTTTTATAGACATAGAATAAACTTGCTTAATTAGGCCTGCTTTCTGATGTAGCTAAACTTTTTCCAGCCCAGAGAAGCACCCCAACTTCTCTTTCAGGGAATTGTCAGCAACACAGCAGTAAATATCAACATGATACAGATTATTATTGTAGATCACACAGGGGGAACAAAGGATAAAGTATTTAACTGCAGCAGTGTTTGACTATATTCTGCGCAGCGAGAAAACCTGAAGTTATTTTCAAGGTCCACCATTTCTTACTTCTGTTCATTCAGGTTAAGTTTCTAAACTTTCTAAATCTCCATTTTCCGGCTCATGAAAATAAAATAGAATTTCATCTAGTCTCCTATCTACCTACTCCAGGACTTCTGTGAGGATCAAATGAGATGAGGCACAGGAAAATGCTTCACAGACATTTGGTTAAAGTGTGAAATGTTTGCACTTGGCTATAAAGCAAGTCGTGTTCCTGGGCTGAAGAAACTGCAAGGAGGCTAGTTGTCACCAGGGAGAGGAAGCCAGGGGTGTTGCTACGTGACATCATTACCTGGTGCCCGCAGCGACCATTTCCGGGCTGGGCTTGGCTGGGCTGTGGGCCGCATTTTGTGCCATGATGTCTCAGCAGCGTTGGCTGCGATTTGGTGGGCTTTTGCTCTGGGGTGGTGGCAGGGCCTATGTCCCACTTGGGGGAAGCCAAGTGTTGCTTTGTGGGCACCAGGTCCACAGTGCCAGTGCACGCCATCGCAGCTCCTGTGTTGAGTGTCTGCCCTCTGGTGGTCAGTGTGCATCATAACAACTGGTCAGATGGTTGGACACTTAGCATATTAGTCATATATATATATATATATATATATATATATATATTAGGAGAAGAAATTTGACAGAAGTCTCAAGTTTGCAGAGGAGCCATTGGCTGTACTGGCTGCTGTGTTTGTGCCCATGCCAGCAGCAGCCACCTCCACAAGTCAGTTCAGTGAACCATTTCTCCCCCACTCCCCCGCCTTAATCTGGTTATTCAGCATCTGGCTCTGGAGTGTCCTGTGGAAATTTATGTGGCCATAATGTGAATCAGTCCCAAGAGAGTTCTCATTCAGCAAAGGTGATCACTATGGATGGAAGACAGTCAAGGGGAATTAAAATCCTGTTCCATGTCCTTTAGCTCTAACAGATGCTTTTTTAGTTGCTTTTGTATGGAGCTCTGCGGTTTGTAGGGCTCTCTAGCTATAAGTTTCTGCGGATGCTCTAGGAATCACTGAATCCCAAAAGACGTTGAATGTGATTGGTCAGGAACAGTGGTGTGCTGGTAAACTGGCTCTTTGGAGGATGGGGCAGGGAGGTTCTGATCTGTTATGTTTGCCAATATCTGTGGTGTAAATAGTGCCACCATGGTAGATTTCAAGCTATCAACAGTTTATAAAACAGCTTGCAGTCAGCTCTCTTGAGCCTGCGTCAGCCTTCTCCGGCACACCTCTATAGCTCTTCAAAGAGAGGAGACTCCGGGGCATGGCCCGGCAGGGGAGTTGTGGTTGATCCTGCTTAGTTTTCTGAGGTCAGATCTCACCTGAGAAGGTGTGTCTAGGTTAATCCCAGATTATAAGAGGAACATTGACAAATTGAAAATTGTTCAGGGTGTTGAGCAAGAAACCATTTCATCTAGAAAAAAAGCCACTGGGAACGGGGAGCAATTGCTGGGATGAGAATCTAGGAGAAGAAAAATACAGACATCCTGGTCATTGTTTCCAAATCTCTGTGTGCCTGTGAGTCCTGGGTATGAGGGCGAGTGTCTAGGACAGGGAAGGCAATTTCAGCTCACTATACCTTTATGCTAAAGTTGCCCAAGGAAAGGCAGGGCTGCTGAGAGCTACAGAGTGCTTCATCGCCTAAGGTATGAATCCGTGGGGCAACCACTAGGTGGGGCTGTGGCAGAGGGAACTCCAGGCCCCCTCTAGTTTCTGGGGACCAATCCTGCAATGGAATCTTCTTTTTTCTCTTTCTTCCATTTAGCCATTTCATCTTCTCACTTTTTGGTCCTTTTACTGTTCTTCATCTTCCTCCCTGGCTCACTTTCTTAGCTGACTTTGGCTTATTGACCTGGCTTAGCCCTCTCCTTGGACAATTGGACAATGACCTCTACATCTTTTTAAT